TACGAATTTATTTTGGTATAAAAAATTTATAATTTCATACGTTTTTTTCATAATATATTTCATAATATATTTTTCATGAACTTTTTGAGGATTCCTCCTATATCAAGTTTATGACCTTTCATATCTAGCTTCTTTTGACTTGGGATGTTTTTAGGGTTCATCCATGTTTTAGGGTTGTAGTAGGTGTCAGTGTGTCCTTCCTTTTCATGGCCAAGTAATATTCCATGTGTGTATACTATGAAGTTTTATCCATTCATCTGTTGGGCATTTTAGCTATATCTACCTTTTGACTATTGTGAACAGTGTTATAAACAAAGTGTTACTTCTTTGAGCAGCTGTGTTCAATTTGGGGGAATATTTACCCAGGAGTGGAATTGCTGGATCACATGGTAATTTTTTTTAAAAGAATTATTTATTTATTTAAATTTGACCAGAGAGGGACAGAGTGAGAGTAAGAAATTAGAACTGTAGAAATTTAGAACTGTAGAATAGCTAGTTTGTCTCAGTTTGTTAGTCAAGATTAGGAAATCAAGGGCCAGCAGGTGGCAGGAAAGTGAGAAAGCAAGCTACCAGGTCCAGGACTTGAACCACAGTCAGCCCTGTGGGAGTCCAGTATCCTTAACCACCACACCACCTGCTGGCCCCATCACATGGTAATTTTTTAACTTTCTGAGGAAACATCAAACTTTTCCACAGCAGCTGAACCATTTTACCTTTCTATCAACAATGTATGAGGGTTCTAATTTCTCCACATTCTTGCTATCACTTGTTATTTTCCTTTTTTTTCATAGTTTTTGTTTTTGCTATAGGGTACATGTGCTTGCCAGAGAGACAGAGGCATACAGACATACAAAAAAATGAGAAGTCACCTCTTGGGGAATGGCCACGCTACAGTCCTTTCTCCTCCATTCTCCTCTCGGGATTTTGGGCACTCATGCCCATGTGCCTGGCCTGAGTTTTAAGCCACTGGGTCTGAGCCTTGAGCCATGGTTGACTATGGGGGAGTCCAGTGATGTAACCATTATGACATCTGTTGGTCTTGTTATTTTCCTTTTAAAAATATAGTTTATCCTTGACTCTGAATCCTGACTTCTACCTGCTTTTCAAATCTTTTTGGCAATTCCCTCTTGTCAGTCCTGTAATTAAACCAGACAGCCATTTCTCAAAGAGTATTTCTGCTCTCTTACTGAAATCTTTCTGCTCTCCAACTTATAGCTCTTCAGGAAGAGTGTTTATCAGCTAAATTGTTTTCTATTTTTCTTCATGTTGACCATTTTTATATTCCTTTCATTAACCTCCTTCACTCTTTACCTCCAGCTCACAAAAATATCATAATAGTTTGCTGATTAACTGAAGCTCTGTATGCTATCATACTTAGTACCCATTCATCACCTTTAGCACTGTGTCTGTATAATTTAGGAGGTGGAGTGGTGGTGCTTTGAGTAGGGACTGACTGATAATCTTTCTGAAGGATGAAGACTGTGTCTCCATGTTTTTATCTCCTAGAGAAGTTATAATTAAAGATCCCTTGTAACCTAAGACTTTAAGGATGTTAATGATACAATTTCCCCTTGAATAATCCCTTCTTGTACTCCAAAATTTAGAACCGTAGAATTGCTACAGTTTGTCTCAATCTGTTAGTCAAGATTAGGAAATCAAGGGCCAGCAGGTGGCATCGAGGTTAAGGTGGCTGGATCCCACATAGCCAAGTGCACTGTTCAAGTCCCAGACAGTGTTTTAAAAAATGCACTGGGTGTGTGTGCATGCACACCCAAAATTCCAACAGGGGAATGGAGGAGAAGGAATTGTGGCATGGCCATCTCCCACTAGGGGGGCGATTTCTCACTTTCCCTCAATCTCTGTGTCTCTCTGGCATGTGCATTCACCTTGTAGCAATACTATCAAATATATATATATTAGTATATATATATATTAGTGTATATATATATATTTAGGATATATATTAGGTGTATATATTAGGAATTTATATATATGTACACATATAAATATTCTTTCTCTCTCTCTCTCTATATATATATAATATAAATTGAGATATAGATTTATATATATATATATAAATCGAGATGTTAACTAGCGATGACGGCATCAAAGGCAGTCCCTTTGGCTGGAAGTTAAGTGCTAATGAAGTGACTCTGAGATCATGCTTGTGGTACACTTACTGAAGATATGCCACATTTCGTACAGAGTACTGCGTGACTAAAGACAACACCCAGACAGTAGAAGTACTAGAAAACTTTGCTCTAGGGTACATGTTTTCCTGGGACCTGTACCCACACATGGGAATATGGCTATAGTCACCAAATTCTTTACCTGGAATAAATGCCACTCTATTTCTCAGACTAAAAAGATGTCATATTAAAAGTAACTGGAGTTCACACAATGAAATTTCAGTGTTGAGAGAATGTTGGTATTGTTTTTATATTAAAGATGATATAACATGGATTTTTTTTTATAGGTGCCAAAGAACGTTCTGAGATCTATGAAGCGTTTGAAAACATCTATCCTATCTTAAAAGTTTTTAAAAAGGCCTGAACATATCATTCAGCATCTCACACTATCTATACTGGTATGAAGATGTGCATAAGCCCAGCACAACAATGGCTGGATTCTTCTTCCTTTAATTGTAAATGTTCCAGTACATTTTGACTTGACTTATTAAAGGGTGATTCTATGTGAGTAACCATGCCTAAGAAGTGAAGAAAATTTCTTATTCAGAATGACTCTTATATGTTATTTTCAAAATTGGGGACCAGTAAATAGAGTAATGGTTATGTCGCTGGACTCCCGCATTACCAACTGTGGTTCAAGTTCTGGATCTGGAGGCTTGAAACTCATGGAGGGCACATGTACATGTGGGCCCAAAATCCCTAGAGGAGAAGGGATTGCGGTGTGGCCATCCCTCCAGGGGGTGACTTCTCACTTTGTCTGTCTTTGTCTCTCTGGTGAGTGCATGTGCACAATAGCAAAAATCTCCCCTGTGGTGTAATGATAATCTTAGCATCCTAACAATGCTGGAAGCCATGTGGCACCAGTAGTTTTAGATTACCGGTTGGTCTGAAAAAATAACATGGGTGCAGGGGCATCCAGGATCCTGAAGACCTAGAGAGCTGGGGAAAGGGGATCATGGTATGGTGAGACTATTTAGAGTGTGTTCTCTCTACCCTTCCATCTCTCTCATCCAATCTCTGGACAATTTGAGGATTTAAAAGGTTTAAGAACTTGCTAGAATGATATTGTAGTATCATTAGAATTCAGTGTTTTAGTTTTGTTAGATATGTACTACACTAACGAGTTTACTGAAAATACATAGCAAAGTCTGAAAGTTTCACAAAACTATGTCAACTGCAGGGACCAGCAGTTGACATAATGGCTATGTTGCTAGACTTCCATATAGTTGACCACAGTTCGAGTCCTGGATCAGGTGGCTTAAACTCACACCAGGCATGTGTATGTACATGCCCAAGATCCCAAGAGAATGGAAGAGAAGGGATTATGGTGTGGCTATCCCCCGAGGGGAGTGGGGAGGAGTGATTTCTCACTTTCTGTCTCTCTGTCTTTCTGGTGAGCACACATGCCCTACAGCAAAACCTCTCAAAAAAAAAAAAAAAAACTACATAAGCTAGATACTCTCTGTAATATGTAGCGACTAGGAATAAATGTGTATATTTTGCCTTTTAAAATATTGAACAGGACTGATCCTGTAGCGTAGTGGTTAAGGGAGCCAGATCCCACGTGGCTGACCACAATTTGAATCCCGGCCTCATACTGACAGGATGGAGAAATGGAAAAGGGACTGTAGTGTGACTACACCTCTCAGGGAGGTGCTTTCTCCATCTCCTCTGAATAGATGTGCCCTGTGGCAATTAAAAAAGTACATTAAGCAGAGGATCCTGATCATTGGGAAGGATCCTACCCAAATGCAATTGAAACTGGATCCTACCTAAATACAATGGAAACTTCAAAAGTTGAAGCCTTTAAAGAAAATCCTTTTGTTTGAAATTATCTGAGAAAGTTATTTTTTCACTTAAAAATCTTACAATTTCAGAAACTCCAGGTTTAGGATTTTCTCTGTTTTGAAAACAATATACAGAACCATTGTTTTTTGCTTGCTTTTTAAATTCTACGTAATTGCATTGAAACAAACTGGGTAAGACAAAGAGTTAGAGAAGATCGAAGACCCAGGTAGGTGTAGATGACCAGTCTTTTGAGGATGAAGATGTGGAAGTTAATGAGAAGCGATGGGGTCAACAAAGGTGATAGTTCTGGGCCCTTAAGTGGTTAGTGGTTATGTCCTATGCCAACATAAGGAAACTCAGTTGTGGACAGGTAGGCTTCAGTTTCTGACTGGCTTGAGTTTGTGTTGGGGGAAATGTCACTTGATACTGAGAGGAATTAGATCCACTTTTTTTCTTTTTAATGAAGTCTCTGGATTTTTCCTCTCTAGTCTGATTAATGTACAATATACACCCCTTTTACATGTCTCTCAAGAATTTATACTCTTTACTGGACTGGCAAGTAGCCTAGTGGTTAAGGTGCTGGAGTCCCACATGACCAACCGCGGTTCAAGTCTCAGACCTGGTGGCTTGCTTTCTCACTTTCCCTCCCCCCCTCTCCCACTCCTCTCTGGTCAAGTTAAAATAAATAAAATTAAATTAAATAATCCTTTAAAAATGTATAATTCCTTACTAATAAAGCAGGAGATGGGGATATTGAGCACACCAATAGGGTAAAGACCCAAGATGGAGTCACAGTGGCTAAGTTTTCACAGCTTAAAGCTGGCTGCATTGGGACTCAAAGCAACTGAAACTAAGGGCAACAGTTTCTATTCAGTAACTGTATTCTAACAAAAGGTACAGAATTCTGTGGTCTGCTGACCCCACAAAGAATAGGGTAATAGGGACCAGCAGGTGGCACAGTGGTTGAGGTGCTGGACTTCCCCATGAAGGCAGACCAAGATTCGAGTTCGAACCCAGCAGCTTGAAAATCATGCAGGGTGCGTGTGCATGTATGACCAAAGTTCCAAGAGGAGAGTGGAAGAGAGGGGATTCCAGGTGGCTGGAAAACACCCTCAGGGGGTGATTTCTCACTTTCTGTCCATCTCTCCAGCCAGAGCACCTGCCCTATGGCAAAAATCTCTCCAAAATTTTTTTTTAATTAAAAAGAATATGGTAATAAACCACTCAGACTACTAAGTAACTATCTTCTAAAACCTACTTCCTTATCAGAGAGTCAGCCCATTGCCCCTTGCCTCCAGCCCCTCTTCCACTACTTGGCAAGCTATTTTTCCTCTTCCCTAATAAACTCTGCTTAACTCTCCTCTCAGTGCCCACGTCTCTAATTCTTCACCAGTACCAACAAGAACAGCAAGGGTGTTGGGTCTGATCACCTAGTACTCCCATGTCAATACCTGATAGGCAGTTGTGGATCTTTGGGTGTAGACCTTGGGAAGAAAGTCCCAGAATTCAGAGCAGCCATTAATAAATGGATAGCCCACTGAAATAAGCCTCAATAATCACTAGTCTAATTTAACCTATAAAGCCACTTTTCTTTTTTGGTTCTATAGTTTCAAGGCTATTCAAACACTAATTATTCTAATACAATCCTCCCTTCCTGCCCTTTACCCATTCACCAGCAAAACCTGAAATTTTAACCATCTACCTAGTTCAAATTCTCTTAGAGCACAGAAGGAAGAAAAGACATTGACCTATTTATTTTTCTTTTTGAGAGGTTTTTTGCTATAGGGAACGTGCACTCGCCAGAAAGAGAGAGACAGAGAGACAGAATGCGAGAAATCACCACCCAGGGGGGATGGCCACGCGGCAGGCAATGCCTTCTCCTCTGGGGATCTTGGACATGCACGCACACGCGCCTGGCATGAGTTTAAGACACTGGGTCTGGAACTCGAGCCACGGTCAACTACATGGGAGTTCAGCGACATAGCCATTACATTTGACATTGACTTTAATTAACATTCGCTTTTCAGAAAGATGCAATTTAGATTTGCACATTCAGCACAATTATTTTCACTGATTAGTTGTTACTGGTAAAGTATTATTAGATCACTAAATCTACTGTATTGTTAAGTACTGTAAATGTATCCATTTAGCATGAGAAAACAGGCACAGAGAAGTTAAGGAATTTGCCCCAGGTCACACAGCTATTAAGTGGGTAAACTTAAATTTCAACCTAGTTCCAAGACCCAACCCCTTTGTTTACTGTAGCTTCAGCCAATTTGAAAGCATCCCTAGTGAATTAAATCAACTCCCCTATTCTGCCCTCCTTCCGTTTCCCCAGAATCCTTAAGCAACATATTGCTATTTTTGCACGAGTGTGAGGCGTTAACTTGGAGTCTTGGCCTGATCCACCAGATGATGACATTTTGCTTGGCAGACTTGTCCTTTAACTATGATTTTCCCTAGCTCTGGACGGGCAGCCCCGCCGCAGACAGGAACAGCGACCGCGCCTGCGGCAGGTGCCCGCCTGGGCTCCCCGCTCTGCGACCCCGGCTAGGGGTTCGTCGGGACCCCCGCCCTCGCGCCCGGCGCCGCCCCCGGCCCCGCCTCCCAGCCCAGGATGCACCAGGTTAAAAACAAAATCCCACGTGACTGGCTCGGCTCTCAGGCCATCATGGCGTCTCCCAGTGGGGAGGGAGCCCGGGCGCCCGAGGCTCCGAGCTGCGGGGCCCAGCCGCCCGGCCCGGGCCCGG